GATAACTGGTACATCAGCGGTACGTCCTTCCCGGTCCTCTCGTACTAGGGAAGGGTCCTCTCAATGCTCTCACGCCCACACCGGATATGGACCGAACTGTCTCACGACGTTCTGAACCCAGCTCACGTACCGCTTTCATGGCATGGCTCATGCGAATCCTCTAGAAGCTAGGGGGTCCCATGATATTCTCTTTCTGTGCATTTACAATTTTTAAAAGCGAGGGACACTTATGGGTACCACGGCCTACCCTTTCTGATTTTTTTAAAAAAATTATTGCGTAAATTTGCTGCATCACGTGTGCGCATGCGCTGTGCAGCGCACGTGCGCAACTTGCGTGCACGTGATGCGCCTCGACTATGCTCTGAACCTTGTATTTTCTTGGAGCACAATGGCAAGTTGCATGCACGTGCGCCGAGACTATGCGCAAGTTGCGTGCACGTGATGGAATCGACTTCGGGATCAGATGGATGAGGGAAGGGTGAGGGCGCCTGGGGAAAAGGGGAGAGTCTTTTTGTTTTGAGGGCGCCCCGGGGGAGAGAGGGAAACAGTTGGTGAGGAGAAGTTGGGAAGGATGAGGGTGCGTGGGGAGAGGAGGGGGGGGGGGGGGTTCGGGGCGCCTGGGGAGAGGGGGAGAGTCTTTTTGTTCTTAGGGCGCCTGGGTGGAGGAAAACAGTTGGTGAGGAGAAGGAAGGAAGTCTGTTCAGAGAGGGCGAAGAAGGAATCAATTGGCATCGAGATCGTATCGGGGGTGAGGACGACCCACATTGTTTCCTTGTGCTGTGAGTCATTTCGGGATGTGGATCGACGGTTGAGGTGTGTTTGCATTTTCCAGCCAATGCTAGAGCTGGAAGAAGATGGGGAGGGATGAGGGCTCTTGGTGAGAGAAGATGGTGATGGGAAGTCTGTCTACAAAGGGCAAAGAAGGAATTGATTGACGTCGTGATCTGTATTTGCTTATGAATGAGGACTCCAGTATTCACTCCTGAAAGAGAGGAGAGCAGGAAAGAGGAGAAGATGCGAGATGCTTGTGGTTGACACAGGCGGCTGTGCGGAACTCAAGCGGTTTGATGAGATGACATCTAATAGGGAACAAGAAATGAGCATCTTCCACGTCCAACTTCAGCTGTTTTGTTTTCTCAAGGGGCGAAAGGGGGAGAGCAGCGTGTAGACTGTTTTCAGTAGCTGAGCGAGGATGAGGAGGAAGGGCGAATAGACACGTGTTTTTTTTTTTTTTGTTGTTGTTGTTTTTTTTTTTTTTTTTTTTTTTTTTTTGTGTGTGTGTGTGTGTGTGTGAGAGAGAGAGAGAGAGAGAGAGAGAGAGAGAGAGAGAGAGAGAGAGAGAGAGAGAGAGAGAGGTTTTGTCAATGTGGAGGAAAGTTGTAGTTCCCTTTTTGGTGGTGGGTGAGTTGTAAGAGTGCACGAGTGGATAACACATTTTGAGGCTTCTTCGCAGCAGGTGTCAACCGGAGGAATATGTGATATCACGATTTGGTGATAAGGAGGACGAGCAGGGCTGAAGGAATTGCAAGGTAGTCGTTAGAGGACTGTAGTTACTGTCATACTAATGAGTGCTTGTCCCGATGTTGTGTTTGCTCTTTCAGTTTAAATTTTGGATGTTGAGCACTGAGTTGCTTATGACATCTCATCTTAAAACCACACCAGTACTTCCGAAAGTCGCGGCCGCAAACAAGCGGCAAGATGTTGGGCTGAACGGGGGCCTGGCGGCTCCGTTCCAAAGTTTCATTCAAGTGGAAACATCACAGCTCTATTGTTTTGCCGCGGCCGATGTATGGGCAAGTAGTACCTGGTGGTTTTAAGTAGGGATGTGAATTTCTTGTCCTTTTTGTTATCTCCTGGTTTGGTATCCGAGGGGACATAAATACCCCGGGAGGTACGGAACCCGGGCGTCCACCGCATGTGTGGCGCTGATCGAACAGCTGAGTGTGCATCGGTCATGTCCAAGTTCAATCTTTGCCAGAGCTAACGCGTGCTTCTCAACTTCTCATGTACTTTTCCATTATTATTTTGTCGAGTGTCATCGGACACTCTTTTCTATTTCTTTGACGTGGCAGATTTTGGAGAACACATTATGTTTTTGTTGGCATCATGCCATCAGAATGCGACAACATCCCGTCAATTGCAGACATGATTATCACAGGCGAGGTCATTTTATCGCTTATCCTAATGCTGGATTGATTACAGAAGGGTTGTTTTTAATTTGCCTTTTATGATCTGCTTGGTCTCATCATGAAACCACGAGTACTTCCAAGCAACTTCTCCCCTGCGCTGGAAAAAAAAAAAAAAAAAAAAGAACCAAGTCGGGCCTTCGTTTGGCTGGTGCTGCCCGTTGTGCCCCGGAGGCTGAGCCCCGAAAGATGCGGCCGCATGCAAGCCGAATCGTTGAAAGAATAGTGGGGAAACGTATTGGCGGTTTAAATGTTTCAAAAGTTTCTGATACCTTTTTTTTTTTTTTTTTTTTTTTCTGATACCTAAGAAGGTCACCTTTTTTAATAGTGGGCTTTCGTTGCCCGGAACATTTTGTGGCCAGGTGCTGTGATTACCATTGAATACACTCACAGAATAATTGGAGATACCACAAGCGAATACCATATAACCTAATTGGCTACAAGTAGAATAAGCAATAACCGTTTTCAAATCATTTTGTAAAATTCTTCTTAAGATCAGGTTGTTGACTGTTGATCTGTGACTGTCTGGTGATGTTGACTGATATCTTGGTACGGAAGGTCACAGTTCCTTGCCTTGTCTGGAGACTATCTTCAGGAATGACATCTTGGTAGGGAAGGTCACTGTCCTTGCCTTGGCTGGAGACTATCTTCACGAATGACATCTTGGTACGAAAGGTCACTGTCCTTGCCTTCAGGAAAGTGGTACTTGTCTGGAGACCATATTGCTGGCCGAATCGAGTGATTTACGTTCTCAACTTCTCCCAGGATGTTGTGGATGTGCCATCAGGACAGCCGTCACCATGGCTTCCATCACGACAGCCATCACCACGGTTCCCATCAACAGCATCACGATTGTCCGCATAGGCACGGTTTTGTCTCCATTAGCTGCCATCGCACACCTTGCGAGTCATGCGGGGATCTCCGGGGGGTCGGGCTGCCTCACGACAGCCATCATCCGGACAGTCGTCGTCGTGACAGCCATCATCAAGTCAGGCGTCATCACGACGGGTGTCATGACAGTCGTCAACATAAAAGCCATCATCACAACAACCATTACCACAAAGGCCGATATGGCACCCATCACCACCGTGGCAATCGTTATCATTCAGATTACGCCGTCACAACAGCGGGGCTGTTACGACCCCGATGACCACGGCTATGGTGAGTGGTACACCCATACTCGTCTTGGCAGCCACCACAAAATGGTAGCTACTACCCTCTTCCCCCGAATACAACGTACGGTCATTATAGCTGAATTTAGACTGAAAGATGCCCCAAATTCAGCTATAATGACCGTACGTTGTATTAGGGGGAAGACTGTAGTCCATTGCTCTCTGAGGGAAGGTTTTCATCGGGAGCCATGTGACGAAATCGGGTGTAGTTTTTGCCCTTTCCCCAGGTCTGTGCGAGCATTTTCATGTCGATAGGCAAAAATCCATCAAGATAAGGGTGCTCACATCCAGCCCCACCTCTGTCAAGTTTGTACGATCTGTTCACGCTTTCATAGCCGCATTCTACGGTCATCCGTAATATGATCCTCGCAGGGCAGTTGTGTTCGTCACGTGCTTCCCTGCATGCAGCATGGACTTTAGCGGGAATGGGCTTTTGCTAATATCCCCAAGAGTGGCAAGTTGCTCAGGTTAGGATAGCAGGTGCTTGATTATACACACAAAGGCCTGCAGGCGTTTCATCTGTTTCCCGAGTAACGGTGGAGGCAGTGTGAAGGCTGCAAGAAATTATTATGGGTCCCCTTTATTATTTGGGAGCGCATTTTTCTCTACCAAGTGCGGCGTCTACCTGTCGACAGCACCGAACAAAAGTAGTGGCGTGCACCAGCCAAAGTTTGGGAGGAGCGAGCGGTCTCTCTGTTCAGAACCAAAGCTATATACCAGTTGGCTGGAAGAGTCGTTGTTTCAGCGAGAAATGGTTTTTTGCTTTTCCCGAAAAATCACGTGGTGGGTGGTGCAGCCTTTCCGCACAAACTGCCGGTGAGTATGGTGCGCGCCGCCGAAAGGCTCAGCAGCCTCTACCCCTGAGGCCGACCGAGGCTCCCATGAACGGGCCACTAAATTTTGAGTCTCCTTACCTTGGGGAATTTGCGCTCGTCTCCTTCAACAAAAGAGTTTTCAGGGTTGTGGATTACATGCCCCGCTAAGGGAAAAGTATTTGAAAACTTTTTTCAAAGCCTGACAGAAATGTTTTGCCCATCGGAGAAATCGGTGTTGCGGATGTGACAGACATGGCTGCTACCATCCCCAGGCCTGACCATTACGATCAATTGGTGTTCCCGGGCTGGCTGGTCAAAAACCACTGCCGTTCATCCACCGGTCTCTTTGGACCTCTTCTCTCTGATTGCGGGTTTCCGATGCCTTCGGCCGCATTCCGAATGGGGCCTATGATTTTGCGGTCGATTGCAATATAGACTCAAGAGCTTTTCACACACGATACCATACATGCAAAGATGGATGTCGATCGTAGCCTGGTCAAAGCCTCTGGCGGAGACAACAACAGAAGGATCTTTTTTTTTTTTTTTTTTTTTTTTTTTTTTTGGTAAAACTCAGACCCCTATAGTGCTAGCGATGCTGATGGGAACAGACACCGCTAGCACCTGGGGACAGGCCACAACAGAAGGATCATTTGGATGCTCTCGACCACAATTTTGTTTGCAGGAGCTGAACAGCTTGCTGGAAAGAGATCGGTGAAACTGAACTTCAAATCTTGTTGGAAATAGATAGGCAAAACTCCACTCCACAGATGGTTAAAGAAATATTGTGCATCTGAATGTGTTACCAGCCGGGCGGTCTGAGTTGGCCTAGATTGCCGCGGGTGGCCTCGTCGGGCAAGCTCCCGGCAAAGTCCCCGTCAGCTGTGTGTCCGAAATTGGATTCAATGTGGGTTCCGCGTTGAACGGTTCAGCGGCCGTTAAATTCCGTTGATTTGGCGATTGAACACCGAAGCGGCAGCGGGACTCACAGGGACCCGCGAGGATTTTTTTGGTGGGCTGAAAATCTTTTTGAGGTTTACAACGTCGTACTTTTATTTTATTTTTTTGAGCTTTGACTATATTTTAAAAAAAAATAAAAAACATAAACACAAAGGGAAAAAAAAACAAAAACAAAAGATGAAGTGACTTTTTCTTTTTTGTTGTTTCACAGACACTTTTTTAGGGCTAAAAAAAAAAAGCAGAAAAACTAATTAAAAATATAGGGTTATAGATCTTTCAAAGATGTATAACAATGTTTTTTTTAATTTGTTTTTTGAATGTCATGTAGTTACAAAAAAAAGAACATAAAAACAAAAATAAAAAATAAAAAAACGAAAAACAGACAGGCACACACACAAACACGAACATATAAAAACACATACACACACACACACACACACGCACACACACGCACACACACACACAAACACANACACATACACACACACACACACACACACACACACACACACACACACACACACACACACACGCGCACACACACACACACATGCACACACACACACACACACACTTACAAACACGCACATATTCATGCACAGACACACTCTCACACACAGGCACACAGATACACACATAGGCGCAACAACACACCTGCACTCACATAACTGGGGGGCCTTTGCGGTTGGGGGATGTGGGGGAAGATGGTTTAGAGGGCTTCCGGGTAGGTTTGGGGACTGGTGCCGGGGGGTTGCTCAGTGGTGGGTGGCAGCGCAGTCGGTGTTGGTCTCATTTGGTGGTATAAGAGGTGCTTCAGGGGTTGGGGGAATGCTTTCTTTTTTAGCCGCGGGGGGGGGGGCGGGCAGTTTGAGTGCGCAGGTGGCGAGGGCCACGTGTTCCGGACACCGTGCATCATTTCATTTTTTCCGAAAAGCGCGGGAGCGGTGCATTTTTGCGTTTAATGGGAATTCAACGGGATTTTTTCAGTTTCAACAGGATTCAAGGGGAGTTTAATTCCCCGTTAAAAAGACACACAGCCGGTCAAGGTGTCGGGCAGTCCCAGTCCCAAAAAAAAAAAAAAAAAAAAAATCTGGGAAAAAAACTATGTCATGCAGAGTTGCAAACCAAACATCTTTTGCCCGAGGGTGAGCACAAAATGTTTTCGGTATGGAATCAGAAATAAAAAATAAAAATAAAATACTATTTCATATCGTACTCCTTTACGCCCCTTTGAGCCGTTTAGAACCCCGCTTATACCCCATAGACACTCTTTGGTGAGATGTCACCAAACTCAAAAGATAAGGCTGGATTTGGGCACGTATCAGTGCGCGTAAAATTGCCCCACTGCAAGTTCGCCCGGGACGCCCGGGCTGGGTGACTCTGTTAACGTAGGTATCTGATTAGCAATCTTCAGTTTCCCAAAAAGGGAACAGGATACAACTATGGTTCAGCGTGGCGTGTCCAAGTTCTCTCTCTCTCTCTCTCTCTCTCTCTCTCTCTCTCTCTCTCTCTCTCTCTCTCTCTCTCTCTCTCTCTCCGCTTTTTGTGAGCATGGCTGTCATTACGTCGTCAATGATGTCAACTCATAGCTGCAACGAGAAGCAAAGCATTTCCCGAGGAAACAAGCCATGAATAACACTTTTGGTATTTTGAAGTTGGTCTTTGTACAAGGAAGAAACATGACCCAGGGAAAGCTTCTCCACAGTTTTTGCTTGAAAAATGAGAAGGGAATGAAGTGAGCAGATGTTGGAACATGTTAATGCCAAAATCTGAAAGAGAGGAGAGAGGAAGGAAGGAGAGTGGAAAGAAGAGATGGGAAGAGGTAGGAAAGGGAGGTGCGGAAATTTTTTTGTGAAGTTGTGAGATTTATGTGGAGTGACTGAAAGAAATGGGAGACTGGATATTTAAACATAATCCAATGGGATTTATTTTGGGATAATTTGCAAAATACCCTCATAAGTTGAGATATATGACAAAATGCCCCTGAAAGATGTGGGTAGAGCGGAATGCCCTTTTGGGCCAAAATCTTTGTGTTTGCCCCTGTCAGGCGGCTGTCCAACTTTGCAATCTGGGCCTTCCCGTTTGGGCCTTGGCATGTTTGCAATAGCGCCTAGGAGAAGTTGGCAAGTACTGGGGCATTTTGCAAAGTTGGACGGTAGCCGGTAGGGGTATATTGCAAAGATGGAGGTCTAACCGATGCCAGGGGTATTTCACAGAATATGTTTCTTGTCAGAGGGGCATTCTGCTCTACCCACATCTTTTAGGGGCATTTTGACATGTATGTCAACTTATGGGGGTATTTTTCAAATTATCCGATGTATTTCTTTTCTTTTCTTTTTAAATCTCCCCACTGCCTCTGAGCCTGTTTTTATCGACCCTGATTTTCACTGCGCACCGAGTTTTGCCGAACCTGGGTTCCGCGTTGTGTTTTTTTTTATCTGGTACTCTTCTGGAAAAAGAAACGAAAAACAGGGCCAGACTTTCGAAAAAGAACAAGCACGGCGCTACAGCGACACCCTCACATCCACAAAAAAAAAAAAAAAAAAAAAAAGAGAAAAGCCAAACACCCCTTTGGACGTGTTACCAGGTAGATACCTACTCAAATTAGTTGCGCGAGTATGCGCTCAGTGAGGGCATTACGGCAGGGGTGTAAGTCCGGAGAAGAACAAAAAAAAATAAAAAAAATTGAAACTGAACTTAGTGTGGGCATGCCCTCCTCCACAAAAGTGTCAGCATCCCGCGGACTGTGCCGTGCCTCGCTGTCAGGGCACCAAAACAAGAAAAGAAGAAAAAAAGCAAAAACACAGCAATGAAAAACTGAAACTGGCCGCAATAGTAGTTAGATACTTTCTCGCGAGTTTTGATGCGAGCACAACTTTGTGCATGGTCGTCCCTGACATGGTCTTTTGTTTTTCCCTTTATTTCTCAAACGGGCCCACATGCGAGCACGACTTTGTGCACGGTCGTCCCTGACATGGTCTTTTGTTTTTTCTCTTTATTTTTCAAACGCCCACAAGGCCCAACTGCCACGCCTCGTCCGACCCTCGAAAAGTTGAGAAGAAAATGGAAAACTGCCAGTTTTCCCATTTTTCCCAAGAGTGAGCGAGGTCGTGGTGGTCGAAGAGGTCTGACGATCCAATGGAATTTCTTTTTCATTTCTTGATTGATGCGTGTCGTTCTTGCACGAGGGCCTGATGAGATTGGCTAGGAAGATTGTCACACCTGGCTGGGCACCCGGGCGGACCTGATGCCTGGGGTGCTCGGGTGTGCCGAAGAAAATATCTGTTTCGGTTTTCTGCGCTCTCCCAGAGGACCCCAAATCCGGGCTCATTTCTTTTTTTGAGAGNGGGGGGGGGGGAAGGGCGGCATAAATTGGTTTTAAAGGGGCTAAAGGGGTTCAGAGGGGGGTGCCTTAGTGGGATTCTGTGATTTCTTTTTTATCTCTGTTTTGGTGAGGAATTCTGATGTGACCCTCAGCCAAAAGCCGTTCGCATTGCAATTCTACACAAGGTATTTGTTTTTTGGGACAATTGTTGAAATGCCCCTGAAAGTTGGGGTATCTCGTTAGATACCCCTAAAAGGCATCGGTATCGCGAACCCTATGACAGGTGTGAAACGTTTCAAAATACCCCACGTGCCAATCGGACCTGCCATCTTTTGCATGTACCCCTACCGGGCTCTGTGCAACTTGTCGATATGCCTCGGTATTTCTGGCTTTCAAGTTTGGACCCTTCAGTTAGCGAAAGAAATGCACCGGCTCCTTCAGCTTAGGGCCAGGGCATATGGTGAAGTTTGTGATGACCAGGACAGGGGAGGAGGCAGATGTTCAGGGCATTTCGGCATAGCCCTGTGTTATAGGAATGTCTGATGGAACACCCCAACTGTTAGGGGTATTTCAACAATTTTTTTTTTTTTTGGAAGAAAACTGGTTTTTCACGAGTGCCCGCCAGCCCTGTAAGGTTAGCACTTTTTAGAATGTATCGGGCTGTACTTGTGGGCACAGTGGATGAATCCGAGGGCTTGGTATTTCTTTTGCCGTTTGTTTGTTTTTTTTGGAAGCAGTATCTCGGCTGTTTGTGTTTTTGCTCCCCGTGAGACATGGGGAGCATTCAATGCTTGCCAAGCGTTCCAAGTCCACAGCGTCACTGTGACATAGCACTTTCCAGAATGTATCTGGCTGCACTTGGGTGCAGCAGAGGATGTATTTGAGGGCATTCACGTTCAGGGATTGGTACCTCTTCTCCCCTTTGTTTTTTTTTGTTTTTTTCGTTTTCTGTTTTTTTTTTTTGTTTTTTTTTTTTGGAAGCAGAATCACGGCTGTTTGTGCTTCTGCTCCCCGTGAGAGACGGGGAGCATTCAATGCGTGCCAACCGTTTCAATTCCAGGGCTTCACTTGACGTAGCACTTTCCAGAATGTATCTGGCTGCACTTCGCTGCAGCAGCGGATGTATCTAAGGGCAGATGTATCTGAAGGGCAGATGTATCTGAAGGGCAGATGTATCTGAGGGCAATCGCGTTCAGAGCTTGGTACCTTTTTTCCCCTTTTTTTTTTTTTGGCTTTTTTTTGTTTTCCTTTTCAAGATTCTAGGCTGTTTCTGATTCTGCTCCCTGCCAGAGGGGGGGGAGCATTCAACGAGATCTTTCCAGATGGATCTGGATGCCCTTCTGCCCAGGCCATTTTCATGTACACAAGTGGAAACAAGAAAACTATAGCCGCTTTACATTCCAGCTGCTGGCAGCAGGTCCAGAATAAGGGCGGTGCTTGTGCCAAGCATCAAATGTCCCATGTTGGTTCCCGCCCCCAGCAGGCTCGGCAAAAATCGGCGCGCAGGGCATATTCACGCTCGGCTTCAATAGCTGGGCCAAGTACTGGTGGTTTAACAGAGCCCAAAATCTTCAGGTTTTCTTCAGGGTCATTGTAAAAAACGTCTTGCACCTCAGACTTGTCACCAGTCCAAAAAAAAAAAAAAAAAAAAAAAAACACGTCCTGCACCTCAGATTTGTCACCAGTCCATAGATTGGACACCAAAGATCTCCAACGCCCTAACAAACAACACCAAACTTGGCACACGAAAACCTTGGCCAAAAGTGCAGTAGGTGGATCTTCGAGCTTGGCTGGTAAACGAAACTGGCTAAAGCTGCCAGGACAACTCCGGGTGGATTTGTGAGGTTCCCGGCCTCGTCTCTCAGGCTGTTTTGTAATACATTTTGAAGCTTTTCAAAAAAAACAAAACAAAAAAAAACCTTGGCCAAAAATAAAACAGGGACACAAAAAAAAACAAAAACAAAACAAAAAAAAAAACACTGAAAAACAGTATCCCCAAATGCAGTTTTCAGTGCTGGGGGCCTAACTTGGGGCTGAAAAGTGGGGGTCCCTGTTAACCGCTTGTGGTGGAAGCTTGGCCACGGGGGAATCTTTGCCTTCCTCTCCAGACATATTACTTGGGCGACACAACTACAACCATAATCTCCAGAGGCGAACTTGAGGCCCTGACAAAGATAGCTACTTTTTTTTTTTTTTTTTTTTTTTTTTTTTTTTAAACAGGCCCAGTGCCCAAGGCTGATTTTGCTCTCAGGATTAATAGAGGTATGGACGGTGGAGAAGATGCGAATAGGGTAACTCCTGGTGGCGGCATGGAAGTAGCTTCTCTGGGTGGGAGGGGCCTGAGGATGATGCATCAGTCTTGCGAAAGGCAGGGTAAATGACGGCTGGGAATCTGCCATGTGGCAGGGACAGGGTGGACACTAGGTGTGTCGGTGCAATACAGGTAGAAGATACATGGGATAGCGGTCGAAGATAAGTCCACCTCTGAGTCAATCCCCTAGCGAGAGGGCAATCAATGCGGCTCATCACATATAAATTGACATAACTGCATGAATAACATGTAGCTCTGGCTCTTTGTAATGATGTTAAGGGATGCTGGACCCATTTTTCAGCAGGTGCAGCTCCCCACCAATAGAGGGGGGGTCTGCTCTTATCAGCAAACCCCCCACACCCCGTCGTCGATGTTAAGAGAGAGAGAGAGAGAGAGAGAGAGAGAGAGAGAGAGAGAGAGAGAGAGAGAGAGAGAGAGAGAGAGAGAGAGACTCCCTTTCACCGGCGCATCCCTACTCCCAAGGTCCTACCTGAGTGTTCTTACCACCCAGGATCATAACCCTTTTCTAGTGACCTGACCGGACAGTGGTTATAGGCATCAGGGCTACGCAGGTCCTCACCTCCCTCCCCAGCCCTGATTGAAGCATAGTCGGGCGAGCCCTGTCGTACGGGTACTTCAAGTCCTAGGGGTAGACATTCTACTACAAGTCCCAGAGGTGAACCCTTTTTTTCCTTGTTAGAGAGATGCTAGCCTTTGATCATCAGATCCGTCTGGTTATTATCTTGAATTCTATGTACTTGAACCCTTTTCTATCGGAGGTTGTTCTTACCTAGAGCATCTCCAGTTTCTCTAGCAGGTGCCCCTCCATATCTAAAACCCGGCATTGCAAGGGTCTGAGACATGTGTCCTTGACACTGACATGACAGAAAGGGTTGATTCTCTGTGACTGGCATGCTGTTATTGCTGCACTGACTGCTGAACTAGCTTTCCAACCCGGGTGCCCAACGACGCCCGGAATGGCGCCCGGGTTGCCCGGCCGTGCAACCCTCCGGAGCAGGCACCCGGGCCCCTCTTGCACCGAGGCTGATAAAGCCTGGAAAAAAAAAAAGCGCCGCCGCCAGATGCCTTACCACCGAAAAAAAAAAAAAGGAGGCCGGTGCAATTTTTTTTGGGGTCCCGCAGGCCTAGTTTTTTCAGTTTCTTTTTTTCATCTCAAATCTGGCCGTCGATCTGTGCCGATAGACAGCGCCCACAGATCCAGGATTTGAATTCGAATGCTGGCCGACTCCAGCACCCAAGCGACTCCATGCCAGTGCCCCTCCAACCGCAGCCCTGTGCCAGTTCGTCACAACGGCCCTCCGCGCGCTCGACGTCCCCGTAGCCACTCCATCGCCGAAGCCGCCTGCTCCCTCCGTGCCCCCCATTGCCGATGCCCCACTCGCCAACTATTGCTGCTCCCTCTTCACCAAGGTAACCCTCGCGCTATCCCAGTTAAGGTTCGAGAACTTCAAGGTAAGTTGTGTTCTTCTTCTTGTTCTTCTTCTTTTCTTCTTCTTGTTCTTCTTCTTGTTCTTCTTCTTCTTCTTCTTCTTCTTCTTCTTCTTCTTCTTCGTCTTCTTCTTCTTCTTCTTCTTTATTCCTTCTTCTTCTTCCTCTTCTTCTTTTTTCTTCTTTCTTCTTTTTCTTCTCCTTCTTCTTCTTCTTCAGAGTTCGTGTCTTATTAATCTTTGACGTGGCGTCCTTGCTCCCTCTCGCCAGATCACCTCGCTCTGCCGTGGCATCCTCGCTCCCACTCATCATGGTCCTCCCTCCTGCCAGATCACCTCATGCCTCCCTCCTGCCATAGTCCTCCCTCCTGCCATATTCTCCCTCCTCCCGCCTGCCATAGTCCTCCATCCTCCCTCCCGCCAGATCGCCTCCCTCGCTTCTTTTCCTCCTCATCCGCATTTCGTCCTCCCTCCCGCTATAGTCTTCCCTCCTCCCTCCCGCCATAGCCCTCCCACCTCCCTCCCGCGATAGCCCTCCCTCCTCCCTCCCACCAGATTGCCTCCCTCCTCCTCCGCCCTATCTCCTCTGCTGCCCCGCCCCTCCCCCACACACAGAAAACGATATGCATGAAAAAACAAAATGAGGGCGGATTTGGGTAGTACTCGGAAAGCGCAGCAAAGGCCGACAGTCGAAAAAAAAAATAAAAAAATCTGTGGATTTTTTGCATGGCCGGGGTACCCCGGGCGGGGTCCCTACCCGGCCGGTTGCCCAGGGAAAGCCAGCTGCTGAACAAATTGTAATATTTTTTTATTGCACACAGATCACTGGAAAAGTTCCCAGCGGCCTCTCTCAGTTGGTAAGACTCGCAAGTGGCATTCAGGAGGTTGTGGGTTCAATCCCCATTGGCCTCATGTACCTTCCCGGGGCATGCTTGGTGCCCACCACTTAGAGATAGAACACTGGATCCCCCGATCAGCATTGAGCAGAGTCTGCTGATGTTCGTAGGGCCTGAGGGGAGGCACAGGGATGGGTCCTGTTGGCATGGTCCCTGATGCTTCTGGCAGTCCCCTGGCCGGTATCGCCCACCTGCAGGTCGGGAGCAGCCCCCACGTGTTCTCTCGTGAACACGGTTCTGGCGGCTACGGGGTTCCCCGTAGGACTATAATTAGGAATAGTGGTAGGTAGGTAGTGTGAGGTGAAATTGAGAGAAGAATGTAGCTTACTTGAAAGAAAAAAAAAAAAAAAAAAAAAGGCCCTTCCCAGCGCAAGCCATAAATTCTGTGGTTTCTTTTTTGTTTTGCACATGTATGTGTTTGATGAGAGAACAAAACAGCACGATTTGCAATCGTGGTGAGTTCCATGAAGCAGCGTGGCCGACGCTACTAGCGCTAACTTGCGCTACGGACCGGCCGGCAAGGTCTGGCCGCACTCCGTGGACTGGTGCAGGGGTGGAGATGTCGTACCACCTCTGTGCTTGGTCGTCCTGGTGCCCGTCTGGTGCTTCGGCCCGGGCGTAGGTGGGGGATATTCCACGTGGCAGCTCAAGGAGACGGCACATTGGGGTGACGGAATTAAGTGTGTAATCAAGGACGTGGCGCGGCTGATTGGGGAGCGGTTTTGATAGCACAATAAGACATAGTAACTGTGGAATTGATGACATCAACGGCCCCAACCGTGACGACATCCGAGATGCAGCTGGCGATGGAGACAGCACCCATGCAGGATGCTGTTGCTGTTGCCGTGTTTGAAGAAGAAGGGGCCGCGCTGGAGATGGTGCGGATGTATAGGCAACAGATTGAGGACATCTACGCGATGCTCATTCAACATCCGCACTTACCAGCGGACCTACTGGGGGAGGATGAGGAGCTGTTCAGTGGCTGGGAGGAGGAGCTCCGTGAAAATCTTCCTCTTCAACGGTTGGGGGCCATCGAGAAAGCACAGGTGATGGTGGAATTGGGGGCTTGTACTGAAGTATTGGGGGAGGTGAAGGGAATCCTCTCCGAAATCCGGAAACGGCTGTGGGGCGCGGGGCCTGAGGAGGGGCAGGTGCTGCGTTCGTCGCCGGATGCTTTGAGCGAAGCAAACGATACTCCTATCTCGACTGCCTTCCTTACTGAGGAGGTGGTGATTTGCGGCGGGAAGCCTGAGGAGGGGCGAGGGACTGACGGCGAATTGGCGGGCGACGAGGATTACAATCGGCTGGAGGAGGGGACTATTGCCATGTGTGAGAACCGTGACAACAACAACAACAACAACAACAACAACAACAACAACAACGATGTCAGCGGCTTCAATTTTGATGATATCGAAGATGGGCATATGCTGGATAACGGCAACAACAACGACAACAACAACAACAACAACAACAACAACAACAACAACAACGTCAACAACGGCAGTGCCTTCGACTTCGAGGATGGCGATGTTGGGAATTCGCTGTATGTGGCGCAGGGTTATGATGATCTTATGCGCAGCAACGCCATTGTTCGCAATGGTTACCATTGCAATGACCATGGTGACATTGAAAACACAGCGGGTGACAACACAGAGGACAAAGGCCACAATGATGGGCAGGCTCTCTGCCTCTTCTCTCGCCTCCTCTTTTCTCACCTTCCCCTCTCGGGTTCCTGGTCATTATTGTGGGGTCAGGAGCGAGAGGGCGGGGTGATAGGGATGTGTGTAGAACAGGGTGACGGCACGGGACTGGGGGGGAAGCTTTGGTGGAGGGAAGGGGTAGGATAGGTACGGCTCTTACCTCCCCGGTTAAAATGCGCCTACGAATCTTGAGAATGGGGGGGGGAGGTAGTTGAGGGCAATATGATATAAATCTGTTCGCCAATTCGGGTGTCTGCCTTCGATGGTGATCGACGCAGATCGGGCGAACTTGCAAGAAATAATGATTTGGTATGGCAGCATGGAGCAGATAGGTATGTGCTGCGCTCACGTTTCTGGAAACCCCTGCTCCGTGAATTATGCCATGTGTTGGTGTGGTCGGGTGTGTATCATTTCAGAACCGACACATGGCGCGCCRACATGATTGATACTATACTTACCTATGTGGATCTGCAGGCTGTCGACCACGTGTTCTGCTGATGCCATGTAGATTCTATAACCTCCTGTAATCTCTCGCTCCGATTGCCCCCTCCCGGCTATCAGTAGATCMTAAGGGTTTCGGAGGGAGAATTKTGTTTTCATAAAGATGAGTAGTAATCCTCATAGCTTGCGATGAGTTTGGCTTTTGCCACGTGGTTAGGCGACTCTGATCTGTTCCCTGGTTTGAGGACTCCTCCCTCTCACGGTCTGTTTACAGGCGAAAGTTATTTAGTTGTGACGAGGGTCTTAAAACTGGGTGATGACGTGGCGACTGTGGGGGGGGGGGAGGCGGTGGGTTGGGGCCGTCCTGTGATTGGAAGTTGTTATCCTCATTTCATGGTTTTTTCCCCTCATGGTGCCATTAATTGAAATTCTAAAGCCCTACTCCGCTTACCTCTTCCCCTCATCGAGCTGTACGATTTACGTAGAAGAGACTGAGGGTTGCAATGTAGGGAGATGATTTTTCAACGATGAAAGGCAGTCAATCCCCTCAGTTGAGGGTAATTAATGCTGCTAATGACATGAATGGAGCGTGCCATCGTGCTGGTGTTAAGTGTTAGGGATTACACTGCGATGGGCACGTGGCATATAATAACGATTTGTGAATGTTTACAGGG